GGTCTTATTGAGAATGGATAAGTTTACCAAGCTTTTTCCAGTTCACTTCAGTGGTATACCTTCTAAGGACCCACAAGATTATCTTGAACGCTGCCATGAGGTACTGCGGAACATAGGTATAGTTGAGACCAATGGGGTTGATTTTGCTGTATTTCAGATGACGGGTTCTGCCAGGAGGTGGTGGAGGGATTATACATTGACTAGACCAGTTGGATCGCCTGCACTTATCTGGGAGCAGTTCTCTCAGCTATTTCTAGAGAAGTTCCTTCCTATCACACTGAGGGAGGATTACCGAAAGCAATTTGAGCGTCTACAATAGGGCAGTATGACTGTCACTCAGTATGAGTCCCGTTTTATGGATTTGGCCTATTATGCTCTCCTTATACTACCTACTGAGGGAGAGAGAGTGAGGAGGTTTATGTAGGGACTCACTCCCCCTATTAGGCTTCAGATGGACAAGGAGACCGGAAGTGAGATTTCTTTTCAGGCGACTGCTAATGTCACGAGGAGGATCGAGATGGTTCTTGCACAGGAGAGATGGCAGAGGTATGATAAGAGGCCTCGTCAGTTCGGTGGTTTCAGTGGTGCCTCGTCTGGAGACAGGGGTACTTATGGAAGGGGTCAGGTACCTAGAGGTGGAGGTCAGACAGTTAGAGGTGGAGGACATGCGGGTAGAAGGAGTCCTAGAGGTGGAGACCCAACCGTTGTTATGTTTGTTTTATGGTATGGCGGAGGTCGTCACATCAGATGGTGTCGTTATGGGTACGATATTGATTTAAAATAAAGGAATAATTTCCTTAACTTGATTCGGTTATAAGTATCAAGACGAATCCTCCTATTGTGCTCCACTTATGAGTGAGCTTCGTAATTCTATAATCTACTTATGTGTTTACTCCCATTGGGAGATTCTATGGAGATAACTACGCCTATCATTCCATGTTGGTCACTAATAAGAGCTGTGAGGCTAAATGTGGCTTTTTGTTACTCATTTCGGTAAGTTTTGATGTAATTTACGGATAATTAATTACAAATTATGAATTATATGCCCTATCGATGTGGGGTTCATTCTGTGTTGTGATTTTGTGTAACCAAAATTATTTAAAAGGAGAAAATGGAAATTTTCGATTGGCACGATGTGCATATTACTTGTGATACAGAACTGAGGACGAGATCCTCGCATTTTTAATATAAATCGATATGTTTAAACCGGGCTACGAGTTGCAGTGAAAGTTATATAAGGATGAGATCCTTGTGAAGAAAAATTCTTGTGTTTAAGTTCTCCCTTGTGAAATTAAATTTGTACTATAGTACTAATATGGAGTCATGCATGTTAGGCTTATTTGAGAATTCTTGTATGAAATTCTCTGTGCATATTTGCCAAAAAAAAATCGTGTTTGTAATTATTGGGTTTTAACCTACGAGGTAGGTGCTCGCCCAGGTGGCGTTAAATGTTACTCTTTAATTCGGGTAAATAATTATGAGGTCTTCATGCCTCGCATCTCGTTATCAGTATTGTGAAGGTTTGCAACGAGACTTTTTATTAACGTGAGGTTAATTGGCAATTCGGTAATTGATCATGAACAACTATTAAGAACAAATATCCGTTGCCAAGAATTGATGACTGATTTGATCAGCTTCACTGCTTCATGATGCCAAGGTATTTTTGAAGATCGATTTGAGGTCTCGTTACCATCAGTTGAAGATTAGGGCATCTGATGTCCCTAAGACAGCTTTTCAAATTTGGTATGGGCATTACGAATTCCTAGTGATGTCATTTAGGTTGATAAATACCCTAGCATCATTGATGGAATTGATGAATCAGGTGTTCAAGCCCTATTTGGATTCTTTTGTGGTTGTATTCATTGATGATATATTGATTTACTCCAGCAGTCGGGAGGAGCATGAGCAACATCTTCAGAGTGTGCTTCATACTTTGAAGAATAATCAGTTATATGCCAAATTTTCAAAATATGAGTTTTGGTTAGGCTCAGTTGCCTTTTTGGGGCAAGTTGTATCGGCAGAAGGTATAAAAGTGGATCCTAAGAAGATTGAGGTCGTTCAAAATTGGCCTAGACCTACTTCAGTTACAGAGATTCGGAGTTTCTTGGATTTGCAAGGTTATTATCGTCGGTTCATGGAAGGGTTTTCATCTATAGCAAGCCCATTGACCGGCTCATTCAGATGGTCACACGAGTGTGAGTTGAGCTTTTAGAAGCTCAACACTGCTTTGACTATGACGTCGGTGTTGGTATTACCCACAGGTTCAGGATCGTATATGGTATATTGTGACGCATCTCACATTGGGCTTGGTGCAGTATTAATGCAAGATGGCAAGGTGATTGCCTATGCGTCGCGGCAATTGAAAGTTCATGAGAAGAATTATCTTGTTCATGACTTAGAACTGGCAGCCATTGTTCATGCGCTGAAGATTTGGAGGCATTACCTCTACGGAGTCTCGTGTGAGGTATTTACTGATTATCGTAGCCTTCAGTACCTGTTCAAATAAAAAGATCTTAATTTGAGGCAGAGAAGATGGTTGGAGTTGTTGAAATACTATGATATCACCATTTTGTATCACCCCGGAAAGGCCAATGTGGTGGCCGATGCTTTGAGTAGAAAAGCTGTGAGCATGGGCAGTCTTGCGTATATTCCGATTGGTGAGAGGCCATTAGCTGCAGATGTTCAGACTTTGGCTAATCAATTTGTGAGGTTAGATGTTTCAGAATCCAGACGGGTTTTAGGTTGCACAGTCGCTCGGTCTTCTTTATATGAGCGCATCATAGAGAGGCAGTATGATGATCCTTATTTACTTTTCCTTAAGGACACGGTGCAGCACGATGATGCCAAACAGGTTGTTGTGGGGGAAGATGGAGTTTTGCAAATGTAGGGTCGTATTTATGTGCCTAATATAGATGGGCTTCGTGAATTAATTCTTGAAGAGGCACATAGTTCCAGGTATTCTATTCATCCAGGTACCACCAAAATGTATCAAGATTTGTGGCAACATTATTGGTGAAGAAGAATGAAAAAGGATATAGTTGCATATGTAGTTCGGTGTCTGAATTGTCAGCAAGTTAAATACGAGCATCAAAGACCTGGTGGTTTGCTTCAGAAGTTAGAAATTCCTGAGCGAAAATGGGAGCGTATCACTATGGATTTTGTTGTTGGACTCCCACGGACTCAGAGAAAATTTGACGCAGTTTGGGTCATTGTGGTCAGGTTGACTAAGTCAGCACATTTCATTCCAGTGGCAGTTACCTACTCTTCATAGAGGTTAGCGGAAATTTACATTCGTGAGATTGTCCGCCTTCACGGTGTGCCCTTGTCTATTATTTCAGATCGAGGTACACAGTTTACCTCACACTTCTAGAGGGTTGTGCAGCGTGAATTAGGCATGCGAGATGAGTTGAGTATAACATTTCATCCACAGACAGACGGACAGTCAGAGTGCATTATTCAGATATTGGAAGATATGCTTCGCGCTTATGTTATAGACTTTGGAGGTTCTTGGGATCATTTCTCGCCACTTACACAGTTTGCTTATAATAATAGCTACCAGTCGAGCATTCAGATGGCTCCATATGAGGCATTATACGGAAGCCGATGTCGTTCGTCAGTTGGTTGGTTTGAACCGGGAGAGGCTCGATTGTTCGGTACCGATTTGGTACAGGATGCCTTGGATAAGGTCAAGATTATTCAGGATCAACTTCGCACAGCTCAGTCTAGGCAAAAGAGTTATGCTGACCGTAAAGTTCATGATATTGCATTCATGGTTGGAGAAAGAATATTTCTCCGGGTCTCACCTATGAAAGGTGTAATGAGGTTCGGAAAGAAGGGCAAGTTAAGCCCCAGGTATATTGGACCCTTTGAAATTCTTGAAAGGGTGGGTGAAGTAGCCTACATGCTTGCATTACCACCTAGTTTATCAGCGGTTCATCCAGTGTTCTATGTGTCTATGCTCCGGAAAATATTATGGTGATCCGTCCCATGTGTTAGATTTCAGCTCAGTCCAATTGGACAAAGATTCGACTTACGAGGAGGAGCCGGTGGCTATTCTATCCCGGCAGGTCCGACAGTTGAGGTCTAAGAGTTATACTTCAGTTCGAGTGCACTGGAGAGGTCATCCGATAGAAGCATCTACTTGGGAGTCCGAGTCGGACATGCAGAGTAAATATCCACTCTTATTCACCAGTTCAGGTACTTTTTCTAACTCCTTTCGAGGACGAACGTTTTTTTAGAGGTGGAGAATGTGATGACCCAAAATGTCATCTTTAAATTTAATTATTAGTTCTGTGTTCTAAGACCTTGAAAAGCACTATTTATTATTCCTCGACTTGCGTGCGTAGTCCGTAAAATTTTTTAGAAAGTTTTTATGTGAAAAATGGATTAAAATGTGAAATAGAGCCTTAAAACTCAACTGAGTTGACTTTGGTCAATATTTTGAGCAAACGGACCCGGATTAGTATTTTGATAGTTCCCATAGCTCCATATCGTGATTTGGTACTTGGGCGTATGCCCGAAATTTAATTTGGAGGTCCCCTAGCTCAAGTTATGACCATTTAACGGAAACTAGTAATTTAAAGGCTAAAGATTTCCAGGTTTGACCACAGGATTGACTTTTTGATATCAGAGCCGGAATCCGATTCTGAAAATTTGAATAGCTCTTTTATGTCATTTATGACTTGTGTGCCAAATTTGAGGTCATTCCGTATTCATTTAATATATTTTGGCACGAGATTTGTAAATTAAAAAGTTTAAAACTTAAAGTTCGAATCGAGGGGTGAATTGTAATTTGAGTGTTGTTTGACGTGATATGAGACCCCGAGTAAGCTCATATGATGTTTTAGAACTTGTTGGTATAATTGGTTGAGGTACCGGGGGCTCCAGTGGATTACGGATGGTTAACGAATCAAAATTTGGACTTAAGGAAAAATCTAAAATTTTGGCCTTCTAATGTAACCGCAGATGCAGTCAAATTTCCGTAGAAGCGGAAACCGCACCTGCGGTCAATTTTCCGAAGAAGCGGACAGCAGAAGCGGAACCGCAGATGCGGTCAAATTTCCGCAGAAATGCTGGATATAACACATAAAAATCAGGTTTTAGCCTTTTTTACTCATTTTTTGAGTTTTGAGTCTCGGATTTTGGCGATTCCAAAGCGATTTTTCACGACTTTGAATTGGATAAGTGTTCTATAACCAAAAGTGATTATATTTCATAAATCTATGTCTATATTCATTATTTATTTCGGATTTAGATGGAAGAAATTGGATTTTTTATAAAATCTTTCAAAAACGAAAAATTTAGATTTGAAGGTTCATTTGACATCGGAATTGGATAATTTTTGCATAGTTGGACTCGTCTCGGAATGGGTATTTGGATTTCATAAGTTTTTTTTTGAGATTTGAGATGTGGGTCCCACTGTTAAATATTTAAATGAATTTTAGTTTTTTATCCGGAAAATTTGTAAATTCATATGAAATTAATTCCTATGATTAGTATTGAATATATCGAATTATTTGTGAATAGATTTGAAACTTTCGGAGACAAGTTTAAAAGGAAAAGCTTTGGTTGAGTAATTGATTGGAATTTGCAAAGCGAAGTGTCATGGTTAACCTTGACTTGAGGGAATAGAACCCTTAAATTATTTGTTATGTGAATTGCATGTGAACGACGTATAGGCGAGGTGACGAGTATCTATACGTCGTCAAATTAATTGTTTGCCTGCTTACTTGAAAAATCATAAGTTATTTTAAATCATAAATTAATTATTATAATAATTATTTCTCTCCTATTCTTTGTCAAATATTAATTCTTGAATTCATGCATTAATTATTACATGCTATTTGAATTATGTGTTTTAATTGTTATTTGACATTTAGCATATTAAATATTAAACTACCTAATTTCTCTATGATTTTCATAATAAATTATTATTTGTCATTGTTTGGTTCATAAATAAATTATAATTATTGTGTGCCTTGATGCTTAATAATTTCTCATTGGACGTGGTATTTATTGGAGTAAGGTTTATTACATTTATGAGTTGTTTAAAATTATATTGGGGGAACGGGTTGCACGCCGCAACGGAAATGAAAGTGTATATGTATATTGGGGAACATATTGCATGCCGCAATAGACTTATTTAAAAGTCAATATTGGGGGATCGGATTGCACGCCGTAACAGACTTATTTAAAAGTCTATATATATACTTGATTGAAATAAATATATGACACACTTGATTAAAAGGAATATATTGTGAGAGCGGGTTGCACGCTGCAACAGATTATAAATGGATTATGACTGCTGAGTTAGCTTTAATTATTATAAATGAGTTACCTGATTTATTTTTATTATTTGTTGTTGTTATTAATATTGCGTACAGGTTAATGTAACTGAACCGCCATAGCCTCGTCACTATTTCGTCGAGGTTAGGCTCAACACTTACCAGTACATGAGGTCGGTTATACTGATACTACACTCTGCACTTCTTGTGTAGATTTCGGAGTTGGTCCCAGCGGCGTGCCATTGACTTGCTCGGATTTCAGCTATTCGGAGGAGACTTGAGGTAGAACTGCATGTTGTCCGCAGTTCTGAAGTTCCCCGTCTATTTTACTTTAGCTGTGTGTTTATTTCCAGACAGCTTAACTTTATTCAGACCTTTATTTGTATTATTCTAGAAGCTCATGCACTTATGACACCAATTCTGGGATGGTATTCAGACACCGTTGTTTTTATAAATTTTTCACTATATTTCAAACTTTGCTTTTCCATTTGTTTCTTTGATTATTAATAATTTAAAATTTATTTAAAAAATTGGTCAATATTATTCTAACGTTCGCTTTCCTAACAAGTGAAATGTTAGGCGCTGTCACAGTCCGAAGGTGGGAATTTTGGGTCGTGACAGTAAGTTCATAGTAAATTTATCCGATATGGAGGAAGACCTAAAGTCGACGCGTAAATTTATTATCTCATTATAAATAAATAGTGGAGACCATAGGGGTTAATTACTATCACCACTTAATCACAATCACAAAATTTTCTCTAAGGATTAAGTTTTAAAATTCGAAAAATATGCCCAAAAACTCATCCAAACAGCTCAAATTTCAGGTGAATCGGAGATCATAAAAGTCATGATCTCCAAAACTACGACCAAATTCAAAAAGTTACGATTTTAAGCATTTTTTAGAATTTATAATATGAGTTAATTTCTTACCATATATCAATTATGTCAAATCAATAGGTGTTACTATGTTTCAGATTTAACATAAATAAACCTCACATAAAGAATGACTTTTCATATTCAAATCACATTTTAATCCCGCAAACCGCCAAAAAATCCATTTAAACGATCCCAACCTACCAAAAATACAACGTAATTCACTGTAACGCAGTGGGTATTTCTTATCAGGTCGTTTTTTATGGACCCACCAAATTTCAGGTCAATTGGAGATCATGAAATTCATGATGATCAAAACTATACCAAATTCGGATTAATTGCTTCACGCAAGTTTAGAGATTAAATCATTGTGATTTACATTCTTTCCATATATAATATTAAGCTAAATCATCATGTGTAATCATGTTCCAGATTTAACACAATAAGACCGACATATAAAGAATAGTTTTTCATATTAAAGCTTATTTAATCCAATAAACTGCTTAAAACTTCATATAAAAGATCCCGAAAAATCGAAAAACAACGTGATTCACTGCATAGCAGTGAGTATTTCTCACCAGGTCGTTTTTAATGGATCTACTAAATTTTAGGTCAATTGTAGTTCGTCAAATTCATGACCTCCAAATCCATGACCAAATTCAGAGATTAACAGTTTTAGGCATTCTCGTGGATTAAAATAAATATGATCATGCTTTCTATTATCCTGATAATTATTCCATTAGCACATGACATTGATTATGTCCTTATTTCGGGTAAGATACACAAAGTTTCCTCTTACATCAAATTATCCTCCAGTTATATACACATGAGAATCCAAGATACTACTTTTCATCCTTTTGAATGAAATGCTTAATATCTCTTCTCTGAATATGTTTAGTGTTATTAGTATCCAATGGTAAATATCATTTGGGTATATAAGACCTCCACCACAAACTTACACTAATCAAGGTCAATTTACACATGGTACATTGAGAAGATTAAATGACTCAAATAAATAGGCCACTTTAGTGGATCCTATTTATTATCCATAACTCTCAATTCATGCATTAACATAATCGTACATATGTAAAATTATTAAGAATTTTCAATTATTTCAAATAAATGAATCACCTTAGTAATAACATTTATTAATCATAAATTCTTAACACATTTGATATCATCTCACATGTATAAAGTTTTAAGAATATTCAATGACTCCCAATAAATAAATTACTTTGGTAATACATATTTATTAATCATAAATTCTTAATTATACACTTTTTATATACAAGTGAAAGGAAAAGAGAGACAAAACAATCTCACGTCATTAGCTATATCCGTACGCTAATATCCCAGCTACAAATAAATAGTGGCCATGTAATTAGCCACATCCTAGCTACAGCCATGAAGCCAAAAGGTCATCTATTTTCACATAGGATATTTGCTCTCTTACGGGCCATAGGTCATAAACTTAACCAGGGACAAATCACATGAACCACATCTTAATTGTTTGACCTAATCTCCAAAAAGAGAACCCTTTTTCAAGACAAATTTTGTCTTCAGCCGCCAAAGCCTCTTAAAACTTTACATGCTCTTTTTGGTTATTTACCAATCAACAACCAAAAACACATGAAGCTTTAAAATTATTTCTGCAAGACAACCGCCAACAATCGTCCAAAAGTTTCAAATTCAATTTCCTTTTAAACCCAGTCGCGGTACTACAGAAATTGACCAAAGAATATGTTTGGGATTCTGCTCGTTGACGGCAACGGCGAAAATCACAAATAATCACTATTTGATGTTTCCTTAGAAAAAACTGATTTACACTCATCATCGATGTAAGACTATAAATTACAACGTATATAATCACACAAATATACACCATTAAGGTTATCTATTTAAATGCGAGCAGACTTTGATACTAATTGATGGAAAACATGTATAAACACCGAAAGTAAATAGGCAAGATCACTTGCATGTAATATAGACAACACATAATCACATATTTAATCGAACATAAAATCGATACTTATCTCTTGAAGCATGATGACGATCGCGAAAAGACCTTCAAGCATGAGCAAAAACCATCCACAAGATCATCTTCCAGTTCCAAGGTCTTCTACTATGTGACTCGAATAATACCCGGAATTAGCGAAACTCGTGTGGGCGAGTTTCTTCTAGGAAATTCGTGTAGTAAAAACCATAATCTTCTTATGGAATAAGACCCCTTTATATAGTCATGGGTTTTAGAGTTTAAAACATTTTCCTAAACCTGTTGGGTCTTATTTTCCACCAACAAATAGAATTCTTAATTATTCAGGCACAACAGGGACCACATTATTTAATTAACGAGGCTTCCTATTATGAACTTAATTCGAAATATTCGAATTAATACTACCATAATAAATTACGAATTATTCTACTAAAAATTCGTAACTGCACTCCTCAGTTCAATTTCGAAATTCTTCCATTAAACCTTATTTAACTCCTCATGTTAAGATTCAGATACTAATCAAATAAATTAAATTACTCACAATTTAATTCATTGATTATTTTCTTAGACTTTTGCTTAACTTATTTCATGTGACGGATACAAAATCTACATGCAGGGTTTACACATGAAAACTTATAAGCTTTCATAAAGGTGCATCATCGATCTCTAGACCGAGACATAGATTCCATCAACTAACTATTACTTTGCCAATGTATATCATTATTGTCCAATTTACCAGGCATATTGAACAACGAAAGGATCTCGCCTTTTAATAAATTAAAACAATAATAATATATAGAGATAATAATAAATATATCAAGACTAAGAGTATAAGTACATTTAATGGCTAGCGAATTTATTTTATCAAGTCAATATAAAATACTTATCTCTACTTGGTCCGTTCAATACATACAAAATGTAC